TGGGGCTCAATTCTCCCACCCTGGGATGGCGACCTGAGCCAAAACCGAGAGTCAGACGTTCAACCGACTGAGCTACCCAGGCGTCCCTAGATTGGCCACTTAAAACAAAACAAAACAAACTTTGGATAAAAAGCTGTAGCTTCCACCCTGGCCTGGTCTTGCTCTCTGGACGGAGCGTGGTTTTACTGTCTGCTTCTGTCTCCTGGTGGTGACCCTTATAACTCTATGTGCCTTTAGTTTTATTTTGTGACTTTCCAATCTTGGGTAATCTCTGCAGGTTTTATGAAAGCTGATTTAGCTCATTTCGCGTTACTGCTTCTTTCCACCGTCTCCCCGTCTTCGGACTGTCTGCACAACATGGGTTTCTGCCACTCAGGGGGCCTCTTCTCCTGTAGGGCTTGCGGAGGTGGAGTGGCACACGTCCCAGAGAGAGCACGGGGACAGATTCCCGTCCACCTCGTGAGCAGCACAAACGCACACGTGCACACACACAGCCACAGGCGTGCACATACACGCATACACGGGTGCACACTCCCACCCAGGCACACATACAGGCACACGTAAACAGGTGTGTGCCCCCACACAGGAGCACGCCTGCGTGCTCACACAAACACAGGTGTGCATGCACACACGGGCACACTCGGTGCACGCTCAGGCTGGGCTGCGTCAGGCTGCCTGCAGGCGCTGGGTGTGAGCAGGAGGCTACCAAGATAGCACTTTCACGGCCGTTTCAGCCAGGTCCAGAAAGCTTACTTCAGCAAAAATAACACTAAGGATGACTTCCCTGCCGCCCTGGGCCATTAAGCCTACTGCTCTAGCGGGTACCCCCGACTCTTCAGGGCTGCGCCTTATCTTTGGCTGCGCCTTAAATTTAAAAATTTTTTTTTAATCTTTATTTTTGAGAGAGAGAGAGAGAGAGAGAGAGAGAGAGAGAGAGCGTGAGCAGGGAAGGGGCAGAGAGAGAGGGAGACACAGAATCAGAAGCAGGCTCCAGACTCTGAGCTGTCAGCACAGAGCCCGACGTGGGGTCGAACTCACGAACCGTGAGATCATGACCTGAGCCGAAGTCAGACGCTCAACCGACTGAGCCTCCCAGGCGCCCTTGGCTGTGCCTTATCTTAACTGTTGTGATCGGCTCTGGCCGGCATGACATCGGGGCTGCTGAGGGGGGCTGGACGCCCCTTCCCAGCCTGTCTGCCTCCCTGTTTCCCCAGAGCTCACCGTGCTGTGCTTGTTCCGTTAAAGGTCTCCAGCCCCCACCGCCGCCTGGAACGGTGGCTCCCTGAGGGCAGGAAGTGTTGTTTTGACCTGCATCTGTCTGTCTCGGTGCCTCGAACGGTGCCTGGTGAGTGAGCCTGCCTCGTGGCCCTGTCCTGACCAGCTGCTCCATAGGGGCTTTCTAGGGTGGGATTGGCTTAAAGCCGTGTTCCTTTAACCTGGCAGATGGGAAGCCCTACCTAATGGCAAATTAGCAGTAAAAGGTAAATGATGTTCTGGGAGCGTCCTGGAGAGAGGGAGGCCGCCTTGCTGGAGGAGGTGACAGACGTGCCACAAGGGGAGGCAGAGCAGGTGGGCAGCATTTCTGGAGGAGGACGCAGGCGAGCGCAGAGTCTGGGCGTCTGTGAGCGTGGGGGCGGTACTTGTTCCGGCGGCTGCTTCCCTTTCCTCGCCCGCTGCACGCTGTCGCCAAAGCAAGGGCTCGCCCGGAGAGGGTCTCTGATAGTGAACTGGTGCCGGCTTTCACAGGGCGATGGGCACTTACACAGATGTGTTTCCACACACAGCTCACTGTGTCCTGTGTGATGAATCGCTTCTTCCATTTTTACAGTACTTGTCAAGATTTGTAGCCCTTAGGAAGTGTCCTACGCTCTCGAAGCCTCGGTTTCCACATTCGGCCAAGGTGGAGCAAAACCGTGCACAGTCTGCTCTCCATTCCATGGCCGACACGCTGCATACACACAAATATTTGCTGGATTGAGTCCAATTTGCAACAGATGTAGAATTCAGCAAAAGTCTGACTGTCGTGTATATGACGTACTTTCCATCTCTTTTGCATATAATGGAGAAAACTTCCCAGACTTCACTGCATGTGGTAAAAGATTTATCAGATTTTGTAGTTTGGTGAATTTCATAGGGAAGGAAAATTGGAAGCTGCTAAAAGGATTAAAACTTTATACTTTCAAAAATTATCCATGGCAATAACAGTCAATTTTAGGAGTTAACTATTAACTGTGGAAAATGTTCAGGTATTTTGAGTGCTTACAGTTCCAGAACGGTGGCGGAAGATGGGATTAAAAATGGTGCTGTAGGGGTGCCTGGGTGGCTCGGTCGATTGAAAGTCTGACTCTTGATTTTGGCTCAGGTCATGATCCCAGCGTTGTGGGATCCAGCCCCGCATCCGGCTCTGTGCTGAGTGTAGAGTCTGCTTAAGATTCTCTCTCTCCCTCCCTTGGCCCCTCTTCCGTCTCTAAAATAAAAATAATAATAAAAAATAAAGTAACAATGGTGCTGTAGACCCCTTCGGTTTTTAGAGTGGCTGCTTTCCTGTGTGGTGCTTCTGGACTCACCCTGCTTTGACCTGGGACAGCCCGTGTCAGGGCCCCGGCTTCTGTCCCAGTTGCCTCCCTGCTGGTTTTGGCTGCTGGCAGTGTGGTTCTTTCTTTGCCTCCTAAAAGCAGTGATTTTTGCCTTTAATTCTGAGGTGTTGGTCTTGTCGGGGAACAGATGTTTGCTCAGAAGTGAGTTAAAGTAAATGCATTTGTGTTCTCTCTTTTTTTAGGCAAAAGTAAAGAAGCAGAAATAAAGAGAATAAACAAAGAACTGGCAAACATTAGATCAAAATTTAAAGGTAAGTGTGTTCAGTCTTTTTTGTGAAATGTCCTTTTGTAAATCTTCTGGAGCGGGGCCTCGTCTTCTAATGCCTTTTAACTCTTTCCTCTTCGAATCGGAGTTCTGAGTTAGCACAGTTACTCTTGTGGCTCTGCTGGAATTAAAACGTGCTTAGGGTCAGGCCATTGGTCGCTCTTGAGTTGTCTGAGAACTTGTGTGGAAGGGATGGGGTGGAGGGGCCCCTCCCGGGACCCAGCCTCTTCCTGAAGAGCAGCTCCTTCCACTCCTGGACTTCACTCCTTCAGGTCTGGGAGTGGTGAGCCAGACAGACCCGGTGCGGTATGGGCTCAAAGTGTGAATCTCAAAGAAGTGCTCCACCTGCGGCCACTCATTGTTTCAGTATGACAGTTATCTGGGCACTTCCTGTACCAAAGTGTTTCTGGCTTTGTGAACCAGTCACGAGCCACATTGCCCAGCCTCTCAGGTGGTGCCTCTTTGTAGGCCAGCGTGTCTGGAGCGCACCTCCCTGGGCGCCCGCACCTTGAGGGGCTGCGAAGTGCAGATGGTCAGTACTGAGGACACGTCTGTGAAAGGCTGGCTGATCCGTTAAGTCTTACTTTCTCAGTGAATTTTTCCGGGTTTGACATCTGGTTCACGTGGCTGAGCAGACTTTAGCCATGAGAGTGGCTGGAATTGCCCGGGAACAGTGAATAGAGGAGAGGCTGGGACTGAAGCCAAGGAGCTGGGGCAGGGTGGGGTGTGTCGGGGGGGGACACAGAATTTCTAGGAATGGGTGGCTTCTCAGGGCTTGAGGATGGGTATCCTGTGTTATCAAGGGATGCAAACTAGTGGACCTCCAGTATTTCCCTGTGGAGCCCTAGGGAAAGGATTATGTTCTCATATTTTGAATTAGGCCTGGGGATCTTCTAAATTTTTTTTTTTTTTTCAACGTTTATTTATTTTTTGGGACAGAGAGAGACAGAGCATGAACGGGGGAGGGGCAGAGAGAGAGGGAGACACAGAATCGGAAACAGGCTCCAGGCTCTGAGCCATCAGCCCAGAGCCCGACACGGGGCTCGAACTCACGGACCGCGAGATCGCGACCTGGCTGAAGTCGGACGCCAACCGACTGCGCCACCCAGGCGCCCCAGGCCTGAGGATCTTCTAGAAGGTCTGTGAAACTTCTGAAGTTGCACATGAAAAGGTTTGCTGTTTCACACACACATGTGCGCGCATATACGTGTATATAGTACGTGTGTATGTTTGGGGAGGTCTATAACTTTCATCGCTTAAGTTTTTTTTTATTTAGTTGTTCTTCTTAAGATTTTATTTTTTTATTAAAAATTTTTTTTACACATGTTTTTATTTATTTTTGAAGGAGAGCGAGACAGAGCATGAGCTGGGGAGGAGCAGAGAGAGAGAGGAAGACATAGAATTTGAAGCAGGATCTGGGCTCTGAGCTATCAGCACAGAGCCTGATGCGGGGCTCGAACTCATGAACTGTGAGATCATGACCTGAGCCAAAGTCGGATGCTCAACCGACTGAGCCACCCAGGCGCCCCAAGATTTTATTTTTTTAGAGCAGCTTTAGGTTCACAGCAAAATCGAGGAAGGTATGGAGATTTCCCATACACCCCTGCCCCCACACCTGCACAGCCTCCCCACTGTCGACACCCCACCAGGCAGCTGAGGAACCTACGTGAACACGTCATCATCACCCAAAGTCCACAGTTGATGTCATGGGTCATTCTGGGGGCTGTACATTCTGTGTGTTTGGACAAACGAGTGATGACACATATCCATCACTGCAGTATCGTACAGAGTTGTTTCATTGCCCCAAAAATCTCTTGTGCTCTACCTGTTTATCCTTTCCTTCCCCCCGGCCCCTGGCAACCACTGATCTTTTTACCGTCTCCATAGTTTTGCCTTTTCCAGAATGTCATAGAA